ATGCTCCCGCTGTCCTCCCCGAGCTACCTGGCCAAGCGATCCCGGCGGTGCGGAACCAAGGGGCGAGGTCGCTGCCGTCGGGGCGAGGTCACCGTCATCCCAGCCGCCCAGGTGAGCGAGGGCTGGAAGAACGACTACGCAGCCCTGCCGGAGGTCATGGTCGAGCTCTCCCAGAAGCAGGCGGAGGAGACCGCGTGCAAGGGCATGTCCGTGCAGCTGTTCCGCGTGGACCTGAGCGAGCACTTCCTCGAGCCTCTGTGGGTGCGCGACACAGTCCACCTGGGCATGTGCCCCTCCAAGCTGCAGATGCGGGAACTCGGAAGCAACGTGATGCCCCCGAGGGTCGTCGAGACCAAGTGCCTGTGCCAGCAAGAGTCTTGCTCCAACCTCGGCGGCGATTTCCGGTGCCAGGCGGTGAAGAAGTCCATCTCGACCTGGGTGCGCCTCGAGGAGAACAAGTACATCCCGTCTCAGGAGCTGGTGACGATAGGCTGCGTGTGCGTGCAGAGAGCGAGTCCAGAGGGCAAGTACGCTAAGCCGGCTCTCCTTTCTTAGTCAGTGACAACTTCGCTTTCCCTTTGCCGGAGTCCACGCTGTAATGGACCGATGCTGTACCGTTCCAATTATCCCCTTAAATATATCATCAGTTACTCTACCATATTTTTTTCTCAGTCCAATACTAGTACAGTATTTATGTCATCCCGTCCAAATATAGATGACTGTCACTTATCAAGTTTATTGTAATTAACATTCCACTTTAAAGTCACGCCAGAGACACGTCCCATAAGTCGACTTTCTTGCCAGTAACCCGTCCAGCTAGTGAATAGTTAATTAGTCACCTGCCTGTTCAGCCACCTTCGCCGGCGGTAAATTGCCTGATCAACAGATGGCAGCACCGTAAGCTAAGATCTCATGTCCGACTAAAAGCTGAACAATCCATGTCAGATGCACAAAGGAGCGCAGGGAGGATATAGAAACAACAGAAATACTCGCAGTGTTGATAAGAAGACAGAAAAACGTTCTCCCGAAGCACAGCGGAGACCGCGAGAGCCCGAGTCGCAGGCGAGCCAGGCGGGCGTGAGCAGCGGCCTCCCCCTCGGCGCGACGCCCCCGCTCGAGGAGGGCGAAGGGTGGTGCGGAAGGAGGCCCAGACCTGGTCGTGAAGCAGAGGGAACGAGGCCGCTCCGCAGGGCGTCAGGACAGGTCGGAGGGCGACAGAACAGCCCAGAACAGCGTAGAACAGAACCCCAGAGAAAGTGCGATGACAGTGTGCCATAAGCAGGGGGAGTTAGGTCAGTGCAAGAGGCTGGTTCAGGCGGAAGAGACGGCGCTCTCGAGAGGGTGATTGCGCGGGGTCAGCAACTGCAAGGCGCGCGGCCCTCGGAGGTCCAAGTGCATTTTGAGTCGGAGGTAATATTCAAAATTGCTTCAAGTGTCTCATTCCTATTTATATGATTTCGTATTTTTATTATGATCATTGCTAACGCCATTACTGTTATCAGTACCATAATTATTATCATCATTAGGATTATCGTTATCAGTATTACCGCCGTTATCATTCTTTTAATCAACATTATTATAGTTTCATCTTTATGCCCATTACTGCCGTCGGTTCCCAACCCTCTCCCTCGATTGCGTCATCACCCGGCGACGATCCTCTCCGGCGGCCGTCACCGCCTGGTTCTTCCGCTGGACCTTTTCCCTCGCGCTCCCCCTCCCGCAGGATGGAGCCGCCTCTCCTGGGCTTCCTGGGCGAGGGACACGGCCGGACGTCCCTGCGCAGAGGGCGGGGCTTGCGTCAAGGGGCGTGAGGGGATCCGGAAGAGGGTGAGGCTGGCGAGGTGTGGCGCCGCCCCTGCCATCCACACCACTCCTCTCGCGCCGCTATTGTTTTCCATAACTGTGCATGTACGTATACATACATACATATATACATTACGTAAATTATAATATTATATATATATATATATATATATATATATATATATATATATATATATAAAACATATACATACATACATACGTACGCACGCATTTTTTTCTTTTTTTCTATACACACACAATTATGTATATAATCACGTAAGCATCTGTGTGCTTACACACACACACACACGTGCATGTATGGATGTGCATACCCGTATGCACATTCATACATCATTCTGGTACCACTGACTTGTATCATTTATATGGTGTTAGAAATCGATGAACCTGACGATTTGTTTGTATCTTTAGGTATGAAATATCTAGGAACCTTTTATGTTCTTGTTAAAGCGCAGCAAATGTTCTGCTCTTGGATATGTTCATTTTCAGTCTGCTCTAACTCGGCAATCCTTGTGAAGGAAGGGAGGCGCTCGCGGCCACCACGCGAGAAGGGCGGCCTCGGGAGACGCCAAGTGCTAAGTGGTTAAGTGTTCAGCCAAGTGTTCCTCGGGCTCGCCTTGCCGGGGGGGGGGGGGGGGGCGGTCACACCACGCAGGGGCACGCGCTCACCCTGCCTGACCTCGTGGCACGCACTCACCCTGCCTGACCTCGTGGCACGCGCTCACCCTGCCTGACCTCGTGGCTGAAGACCTGCCGTCCGATCTGTGCTCCTTATGTCTCTCGCGATTTAGGACCAAACTGCTGTGCTTTCCACTGTAACACCTGTTGTACTGTAATGGATAGCCGCTCCAGGCTTTGTGACTTTCCTCATGATTAAAGCAATGACTGAAGAGGTCGAGTTTCCTTACCATGATTTAGATGTGATTTGGATGGTTGTTCATGTGCACATTAAGCATAACTGGGAGATAATCATATGTGTACTTACACGTATCTATATATGCAAATCTGTATCTGTATCCATATCTATCTATGTATCTGTCTATATATGGATATATATGTATATATTTATGTAGGTATACAAATATGTATATATATATATGTTTATATGTATATGTGCATACATACATATATATATATATATATATATATATATATATATATATATATATATATATATATATATATATATATATATATATATATTATATATATATATATATATATATATATATATATATATATATATATTGTGTGTGTGTGTGTGTGTGTGTATACAGAGAGAGAGAGAGAGAGAGAGAGAGAGAGAGAGAGAGAGAGAGAGAGAGAGAGAGAGAGAGAGAGAGAGAGAGAGAGAGAGAGAGAGAGAGAGAGAGAGAGAGAGAGAGAGAGAGAGAGAGAGAGAGATTTATTACCGCCCGTACACACGCATACGCGCGTGCACATGTATCCTCGCACACACACCCCAACGCGACACTCCGGGCGGCCTGAGCATCCGCGCCCTCACACCTCGCGTACCACAGCACAGCTTTACTTTGTACCCATCCGCTCTCGCCGCCCTCGGCCCCTCCCTCGCCCCTCCTCCCGGCCCTGGCTACGCCCATCCTCGCCCCTCTCGCCCACCCCCCGCCCATCCGCTCCCCTCCCGCCCATCCCCCGCCCATCCTTCCCCTCGCCCATCCCCCGCCCATCCGCTCCCCTTCCCCCGCCCATCCGCTCCCCTCCCGCCCCCCGCCCCCCCGCCCCCTTCCTCCTCCTTGTCTATCCATGGCGACCTCCCCCCCCCCCCCACCACTCAGTGTCTGCCCCTTGCCTCCTGGTTCCGCCCATACCCGCCCGTGCCTTCGCTTACCCCTTGCCCTTCCACCCCACTTCCGCCCACCACCCCTCGTCCACCACCCCCACCCACCCTTTCCTCCCCCCCCCCCGCCTATCCCCCTCTCCCCCCCTGCCTTTACACAAACCACTCCCACTGCGTCTCCCTTCTCCCCCACCCTCCCCCTTCCCCATTCACCCCCCTTTCCCCTCCCCCCCTCCCCGCTCCACCGTCCCCTCCCTCCCTGCCCCCCTCATCTCCCCTCCCCATCGCCATGAACACCTCCTCCCCTCTCCCACTTCACCTGTCGACACCCCCCCCCCCCACTCCTCCCCTGTGTCTATCTGTCCTCTTGTTTGTTTAATTAACCGTCTGATTTTCATCCGTGTTATCCCCCTTTTCTGATTTCATTTTCATCCTTTTATGTCTAAAATTTCCTCTCCTCCTATATATATATATATATATATATATATATATATATATAATATATATATATATTATATATATATATATATATATATTCATAGATAGATATATATATATCTTCTGTTATATCTTTTATTTTTTTTTCTCTCTCTTTGTTGCTTTTCTGTCCTTTTTCTTCTATTTCTCTTACCGCGTCTATTTCCCTTTCATAATTTAGGCATTTTTACTAACTATTTTCCTCCCTCTAATAGCCTTTCATTTTCTTTTTTCTTTTTTTTTGCCTTAATTCCACATAATTTTTTTGGTGTCTTAGGCTTTTACCGTTTTCTTTGATGTGATTAATTTGTGTTCTTCGTCTTTTTTTTGTTTATGTTTTTGTTTTGTTTATTTTATCGCTTCCTCGTGCATCATAAACCGTTCCTGACCATTGATTCCCTGCTTGCTTCCTCCACCTCCTTTGGCTTTCTCTTTCTTCTTTTCTTTTTTGTCTTCCTCTTCCTTTCTTTCTTTTTTGTTTCTGCTCCCTGTGTTTCTCTTTTTTTCTCTCTCCTTTTACCTTTTCTTCCAGTTCTACTTGTCGCCCCCCTTTCTCTCTTACTCTCATTCTCTTTCTTTTTCTCCCTCTGTTTGTCTCCCGGTCACTCTCTTTCTCCTTCTTGCCTGATTCACCTACCTCTATTTTTCTCTCTACCTCTTTCTCTTTCTTTTCTGCTCCTCGTCTCTTATTTTTCTCTTTCAGTTTTCCCCTCTTTCTCCTTCCTCTCTGGTCCCCTACTTTCGGTCTTATCTGTCAGTCAATCTGTCTTTCTCCTCTCTTCCCTCTATTTACTCTCTTAATCTCTTTGTCTTTCATTCTTTGTAAGTATCCCCTAAATGTGTAGCCTCCTCCTTTATCTTCTTTTCCAGTTTTATCTTACGTAATTTTATGTTGTACCTTACTTTCCATTTCTCTCTCTCGTTCTGTTTTTATACCGACATCTGTTATTCCCCCGTTTCTCGCGTCCCGCTTTCTGCGCATCCCTTTTCTGCCATCTTTATCCCATTTTTCCCTTTCTCATATTATCCCAGCATTCCTTTTAGCTCGCGTCTCCCGGCTCTCCCTCTTCTAAATGCTTACTTTCTCTCCTTCACCCTAAATCTTCACTTCCCTGCACATGCCACCCAGCTATCTCCTCCTCCTCACATTTACCTATATTGCAACAGTTTCTCTGCATGCAATATTCGTCCCAACCGCCTTAATATCACAAATTGTATCCGATTTTTTTTCCTTTTTTTCTTTTTTTGGGGGATTATTTATGTGTTCAGGTNTTTCTCTTTTTTTTCTTTTTAATGTCTTCTCTTTCTTTCTTTTCTTTTCTTTCTCGTTTCTCGCTCGGCCTCTGTCTCTCTCTTCTCTCTCTCTCTTCTCTCTCTCTCTCTTTCTCTTCTCTCTTCCTTCTCTTCTTCTCTCTCTCTCATCTCCTCTCTCTCCCTCTCTCTCTCTATCTCTCTCTCTCTCTCTCTCTCTCTCTTCATCGTCTCTCTCTCTCTGCTCCCACTCCCTTTCTCTCTTTCTCTCTTATCTCTCTCTCATCTCTCTCATCTCTCTCTCTCTC